AAAAAAAAAAACAAAAACATATTTTTCAGCTACTTTAGCAAAAAAAAAAACAAACAAAAAAAGCAGCACTGCCACGCGGTGTTTCCACACAGGATGAGAGCTTCCTCCATTGCCCCATCGCTGCTCCCCGCGTGCGTTCATTTCCCAATTAGTCACTCCTTAATGAGCGCTTCGTGGTAAACGAGCCTTGCCAAACTCCGCGTTTCTACGCCCATTCCGCGAAGCGTGAGTCATGGGGAGCTTATTTGGGGGAAAAAAAAAAAATCAATTAACGAGGGGTTAATTAACGCGCAGGGAGAGGTGTTGTGTATAGAAAGGTTTGGGGGCATTAAAAAGAAACCCAATTTCCGGGTAATTAAGGGGAAAAATGAATGGGAAGGGAGGGGGGCTCACCTGTCAGAGCAGTGGGTCTGCTTCTTCCTGACCCACATTGAGACCTGGGGGGGTAAGCGTTGAGATGGGTGGTTAATTGAGGTGTGTTAATTGGGAGAACACAATAAATAATTAAAAGGGGAGGGTTGTTTGGGGGGAGGGGGGAGTCATGGTTGTGTGCGAAGAAACTGAGGTGGAAAAGGGAGATTTGATGATTTTGTGCAGAATTTCGGCGTTGGATCAACCCAACAGATCCTCCGAGGCAATAAATAACAATTAAAACCCACAGTTAATTGTGATAATTAAAACAAACCACGAAGCAAATGGGTTCCTTTGGGTGGTGGCTTTGGTGCCCAAAGGACACAGGAATGTGTGAATGGTGAACACAAACCCCGATAATTGAATCCAACCCTAATAACAAAACCCTAATTGAACCTAAACCCTAATAAACACAAATGCTAATTGAACCCAAACCCTCACTTTCCCTCCCATTTCCTACCCCTTTTCTCCCAATTTTGCCCCCTTTTCCACCCGTTTCCTTCCCATTTCCTCCCCGTTCCCCATTTCCTTCCCCTTTTGCTCCCATTTACCCCCTCATATTCCCTCCTTCCTCACATTTTCCTCCCATTTTATCCCCTTTTCCTCTCATTTCCCCCCTTTTTCCTTCCATTTTCCTCCCCCTTCCTCTCACTTTCCTTCCTTTTTCCTCTCATTTCTCCCCTTTTCCTTCCATTTCCACCCCCTTTCCCCCATCTCCTCCCACTTCTTCCCTTTTCCTCATCCTTCTCCTCCCATTTCCTTCCCTTTTCCCACTCACATTCCCCTTTTATCCCTCAAATTTCCCTTCTATCCCTCCAATTTTCCCCTTCTCTATTCAGCGTCCCCCCCTTTTTCCCTTTTCTGTCACATTTTCCTGTTTTCCCTTCACAGTCCTCTTTTCCCTCAGATTTCCCTTTAATCCTCCAATTCTCCCCATTTCCCCCCTAACCCTCAATTTCCCCCACTTTTTTCCCTCAGATTTTATCATTTTTCCTCACATTTTCCCCATCTTCCTTCCAAATTTCCCCATTCCTTCACGTTTCCCTTCACCCATTTCCCTTCATATTTTTCCTATTATTCTTCAAATTTTCCCCCTTTCCTTCACATTCTCCCTCACATTTTCCCATTTCCCCCAAATTTTCCCCTTTCTTCCTACCAATTTTCCCCTTTCCTTCATATTTTCCAATTTTCCCTCATATTTCCCCCAATATCCTTCCAATCTTCCCCCTTTTCATCACATTCTTCCTCATATTTTCCCATCCCTCCCACATTTCCCCCACCATCTTTCCAAATTTCCCCCTTTCCTTCACATTCTCCCTTACATTTTCCCATTTTCCCCCTTATTTTCCCCTTTTTCCCTTCCAATTCTCCCCTTTCCCTTCACATCTTCCCGCCTTTTCCCACCTCCACTCCTTTCCCGCCTTTTTCCCTGCGCATGCGCACAACTCCCCACGCGCCCCCGGGAGCAGACTGCGCATGTGCAGAATCCCACAGCGGGCCCTTGTGTGCCACGCGCACTGCGCGTGCGCTGAATTAAGGCGGGGCTGGGGGGGGAAGGGCGCCGCCATTTTGCGCAGGCGCAACGCGGCCGTTCCCCGCGCATGCGCGCTGCGCAGCGCTCCGGAGGCGGCGGAGGCAAAATGGCGGCGGTGGTACAGAATGTGGTGAAGCTGTGAGTGAAAGCCCCCTCCCCCCTCCCTTCTGTCCCGTATCCCGCGGGAATAATGCGGTCCTGACCGGCTGTGGGGCTGCCCCGGGCTGGGGGTGTCCGTGTGGGGGGCGGTGGGGCCGTGAGGGCGGTTTGGGGCCGTGTGGTGCCCCCCCCACACGCAGTGCCAAAGGGGAAAGGCGCTGTGTGGGGCCCGTGGGGCGGGGGATCTCTCCCTGTAGGCCCTGTGGGGGCTCCTGTGGACCTTTAGGGCCCTGTAGGGGGAGCCGTGTAGGAGGAGGGATCTCTTCGTTGTGTCCTTGGGAGAGGGGAACCCACAGAGCTCCCCCCTGAAGGATCCCATTAAGATCCCTCTATAGGATCCCATTGAGATCCCTCCTACAGAAATCTATAGAGTCCTCCCTGTAGGATCCCATGGACATCTCCCTGTGGGAACCCATAGACATCCCTCCTATAGGAACCCATGGAGCTCCTCCCTATAGTATCCCATAGAGATCCCTCTTATAGGAATCTATCGAGCCCTCTCTATAGGATGCCATAGAGATCCCCCCTGTAGGAACCCATAGAGTTCCTCCCTATAGGATCCCATGGAGATCTCCCTGTGGGAACCCATAGAGATCCCCCCTGTAGAAACCCATAGAGATCCTCCATATAGGATCCCATAGAGATACCCCAATAGGATTCCATAGAGATCTCTCCTATAGGATCCCATAGAGATCCCCCCTGTAGGAACCCATAGAGTCCCCTCTATAGGATCCCATGGAGATCTTTCTGTGGGAACCCATAGAGCTTCCCCCTGTAGGAACATGTAGCATCCCCTCCTATAGGAACCCATAGAGATCCCCCCTGTGGGAACCCATAGAGCTTCCCCCTATAGAATCGCATAGAGATCCCTATAGGAACCCATGGGAGTACCCTATGTACTCCCATGGCATCCCCTATAGAGACCCAGAGCGGGTATCCTATACATCCTTGGGGGCCATAAGGTCTTCCACTATAGCAAAAAAGGATTTCTTCATCAGTGGGGCATTTCCTATAGGTTTCTGGGGGCTGCCCATAGGTTTCTGGTCACTGATTTTAGGTTTCAAGTTGTTAGCTGTAGATTTCTTGTGGTTCCCCATAGGTTTTTTTGTGATTATCCATAGGTTTTCATGGTTATCCATGGATTTCTGGTGGCTATCCATAGGTTTTTCATGGTTATTCACAGATTTCTGGTGGCTATCCGTAGGTTTTTTTATGATTATCTATAGGTGTTCTATGATTATCCATAGGTTTCTCATGGTTATCTATAGTTTTTTCACAGTTATCCATAGCTTTGTGTAGTTTTCTGGTCATTATCCCTAAGCTCCAGGTCACTTTCCATAGGATTCTGGTCACTGTCTGTAGGTTCCTGGTCTCTATCCATTGGATTTGGGTAATTATCCATAAGATTCAGGTATCTTTCTGTCAGTTTCGGGTCACTTTCCCCAGATTTTGACATTTTTATAGTTTTTTGGCATCTCCTGTGCGATTTTTTGGCACCACCCTCCATCCACTGTGCGATCCCTGAAGAGCAAGAACTCCTTTTCCACACTTTTTTGCCCCAAATCAACAGCCAAATGGAGCACGCGAGACAGCGCCTCGACCTAATTACACGAGCAATTAAGCTGCAAATTAATCACACTCCCTTCATTGCAGGAACATATTTATTGATTTCTACACCGGCTTTTGAGGCTGGAGTTTGGGAAAGCTGCTGAGATGACGCTTTGGATCTCTCCCCTGGGGCAAAAAACATCAAGATTTGGTTCTCTTTATTATTTTTTTAAGCCCATCCTCATCTTTTGGATACAAGATCACAGTATTGCATCAAATCCCTCTTTATTTCTCCCCCGCCAACAGCAGCGATCGGAGCAGGACAGCCATCCCCAAACAGTTGTTTTGGGGTTTTTTTGCTTTAAACACCATTTTATGGAACATTTCACCAAAAAGGCCGAGTTTCCCACCGAATCTCTGTGATCTGGCAGGGAATCCTCTGGATGTGGCTTACTTTTTGGGGCACTCGTTGAGTTTTTGAGTGATTTAGGAGGAAATTGATTCTTCTCTCCCAGTTCTGATTTCTGCCTCCAGAACGCGACCTTTGGGCTCCCTCTGCAGTCAGCAGTGAGGAAAAAAAAAGGAGATTTTGGAGCTTAAATGCTACATTTTGGGCTCAAACAGCGTGAAATCAAGCATGGCAATCCTCCTTTGCATTTAACGAAGGTGTTGAGCACTATTTCCTTTTTTTCAGGAATAAACCAACAACCAAATGATTTCGCCCCATTTCCAAAGCCTGCCTTTCCCTCTGCTTCCCATACCACCAGCATCCTTTGATTAATTATTCCCCTTTGTAATTAGCCATCTCCTCGTGCTCCGTGCAGTTCTTCCAGCCGGTGTTTAACCACAATCAATACCCATCCATCAAACAGAATTGCTGATGTATTTCTGCCCTTCCGCCTCTTCTGCGGCGTCAGCAAGCAGAGAACTCTGTTTCCAGCAGCCAAACTCAGCTCTTCCTTCTCATCACCACGATGGAACAATCCCAATTAACGTAATTATAGATCAAAATGGCCAAAAATGCAGTAGGTCGCGTGTTTGTTAGCTGGATTTTCCGTCTCCCCTCAAGATTTCTCCATCAAAGCTCTTTCCAACACCCAAAATGTCCAAAAATTTGCATTTTTGTACTTGAATTTTCCTTCTCCCTTCAAGATTTCTCCATTAAAGCTCTTCCCAACACCCCAGAACACCCAAAGATTGGTAGGTTACATTGTTGGCAGCCTGGATTTTCTCTCTCCTCACAAAATTTCTCCATCAAAGCCCTTTCCAACACCCAAAGTGACCAAAAGTTTGGTAGATTGTGTGGTTTTTTACTTGTATTTTCCTTTTCTCTTCAAGATTTCTCCATCAGAGCTCTTTCCATCACCCCAAAACATCTCAAAATATGATGGATCTTATGTTTTGCTACCTGAGTTTTCTTTCTTCTCGAAGGGTTTATCTATCAAAGCTCTTTTCAACACCCCAAAACGTCCCAGAATTGGTAGGTTGTATTGTTGGCAGCCTGGATTTTCTCTCTCCCTACAAAATTTCTCCATCAGAACTCTTCCCAACGCCCAAAATGTCCAAAAATTTGGTAGATCGTGTGTTTGTTACTTGGATTTTCTCTCTCCCTACAAAATTTCTCCATCAGAACTCTTGCCAACACCCAAAATCTCCAAAAATTGGTAGGTCGTATTGTTGGCGACCTGGATTTTCTCTCTCCCTACAAAATTCCCCCATCAGAGCTCTTTCCATCACCCAAAACACCCCGAAATTGATAGGTTATATTGTCAGCAACCAGGATTTTCTCTCTCCCTACAAAATCCCTCCATCAGAACTCTTTCCATCACCCAAAGCATCCAAAAATCGCTAGGTCACTTCGATAGCAAACCACATTTTCCTTCTCCCTCCCAAACTCCTCAGGGAATTTATACGTAAACCAACCACCCTGGCTTTTTTTTCACCCCCTCCCATTGACCTCCTCCTCCCCCCAGCCTCGGTGAGCAGTACTACAGGGATGCCATGGAGCAGTGCCACAACTACAACGCCCGGCTCTGCGCTGAGCGCAGCGTCCGCCTGCCCTTCCTGGATTCACAGACCGGCGTGGCTCAGAGCAACTGCTACATCTGGATGGAGAAGAGGCACCGTGGTCCAGGTGGGGTTGGGTTGCTCCCCACCCACACAACAGGTCGCTGCGTGCTGTTGGATTGGATGATCTCAATTATTATTTTTTTTTTCCCCAAAAAGGTTTAGCAGCAGGGCAGCTTTATTCCTATCCTGCGCGCCGCTGGAGGAAAAAACGCCGTGCTCATCCTCCAGAGGACCCGAGGCTCTCCTTCCCTTCCATCAAACCAGGTGAGTCCTTCCTGTTGTTGCTTTCTGGCTCTTCTTGTGGCTCTGATTGTTGTCAGAGGGCCACATACCTTCCAGTACATTCATCTTTCAGGACCCTTCCAACCCATTCTATGGTTCGTTGATCTTTCAGGACCCTTCCAACCCATTCTGCGATTCATTGATCTTTAAGGACTCTTCCTACCCAACCCACTCTATGGTCTTTAAGGACCCTTCCAGCTCACTCCAATCATTCTGTGGTTCTGTGATCTTTCAGGACCCTTCCAACCCATTCTATGGTTCGTTGATCTTTCAGTACCCTTCCAACCCATTCTGCGATTCATTGATCTTTAAGGACTCTTCCTACCCAACCCACTCTATGGTCTTTAAGGACCCTTCCAGCTCACTCCAACCATTCTGTGGTTCTGTGATCTTTCAGGACCCTTCCAACCCATTCTATGGTTCGTTGATATTTCAGGACCCTTCCAACCCATTCTACGATTCATTGATCTTTAAGGACCCTTCCAACCCAACTCATTCTGCGGTCTTTAAGGTCCCTTCCAACCCAACCCAACTAATTCTATAACCTTTAAGGACCCTTCTAACCAATTCAGTACTCTGTAAGGACCCTTTCAACCCAACACAACCAGTTCTGCGACCTCTAAGGACCCTTCCAACAAGTTCTGTGACCTTTAAGGACCCTTCCAACTCAACCCAACTCACTCTTTAACCTTTAAGGACCCTTCTAACCAATTCTGTGGTCTGTCAAGACCCTTCCAACCTGACACAACCCATTCTGTGACCTGTTAGGACCCTCCCAACTCATCCCAGCTCATTCTATGATCTTTAAGGACCCTTCTAACCAATTCTATGACCTTTAAAGTCCCTTCTGACTCATCCAAGATCATTCTATAACCTTTAAGGACCCTTCTGACCAATTCTATGACCTTTAAGTATCCTTCTAACCAATTCTGTGACCTTTAAGGTCCCTTCCGACTCAACTCAACTCATTCTATGACCCTCAAGGACCCTCCCGACCAATTCTGTGACCTGTAAGGACCCTTCCAACCCATCCCCTCCTCTCTCTTCCTCCTGCAGACACCGACCAGACCCTGAAGAAGGAAGGGCTGATCTCACAGGACGGCAGCAGCCTGGAGGCTCTGCTCAGGACGGACCCCCTGGAGAAGCGTTCCCTCCCAGACCCCCGCATGGACGACGACAGCCTGGGCGAGTTCCCCGTCACCAACAGCCGTGCACGGAAGGTACAGACCCCCCCCAAACCTCTCCAGATGAATTTTGGGGGGCAGAGGATGCTGTCACCCTCCCAGGGTGCCCCCAGCTATAGCAGTGCCACCCATCCTCCTCAAAACCCCATGAAACCCCCCCCAGATTCCTAATAAAGCACTTTCTCTCCCCAAAATTCCACAAACTGTTCCCACAGTTTGGTTTTTCATCACTTTTTATTTCTCCTCCCATCCCTCACTGCTGTTCAGCCTCCTGGATACAAACAAACCTCATCAAAGGAACTCTGTTTGTTCCTAATTGCGCCCAGAGTTTGATTTGCTTTTCCTTCGGGGCCAATTTCCTGCAAAATGAGGTTTTTAGCAGCTTGAAAACCACACTCTTTCCAGGCACGCCGTCTTCATCCATCGGTCTGGAACAGAAAGAGGTTTTGAAAGAAAAAATAGGAAGGCAGAAAGGGAACTGAGGCTGAAAAATAGGCAAATAATGAACCATTGGTTTATTTTGCTCTGACGAAAAGCCTTTCATTTTACTCTTTAAGTTTTGCTTTCACCTTTTTGCATCTACGCTCCTCAAAGAGTTGAATTCCTCACTGACAAGATGAACATCAAACCCATCATTCCCCCCCACAAATACCAGAGGTTTCATAGTTTCCCCCTGCAGCTGTGTGGATTACCCAAATCATCATCAAATCGCCCCGAATTCCCTTTTTTTGGGGGGTGTTTTCTGTTGTAACCCCCTCTTTCTCTTCCCCCCCAGCGCATCCTGGAGCCAGACGATTTCCTGGATGATTTGGATGATGAGGACTATGAGGAGGACACACCGAAACGGAGGGGGAAGGGGAAAGCAAAGGTGAGAACCCCAGCACCATTTTAACTCTAAATCCCCCCAAATCAGGCAAATTTCTACCCCCAAAAACACCATTTTCAGTGCTGGAGAGATCCCACCTGAATCCGTTCCATCCCGAAGCAGTCATTGCAGGCTCTCCCCACCCAGTGGCACTGTGGGATCATTCCTCCCTATCTCCAACCTTTGAGGATTGGCTTTCCCTTCAAATTTTCCTTTTTTTTTCCTTATTTTTTTTCTCCTTCCCCCCATCCCCAAACCCAGGGCAAAGGCGTCGGAGGCGCACGCAAGAAACTGGACGCAGCCATTTTGGAGGACAGGGACAAACCCTACGCGTGCGACAGTGAGTAGCCCAACCTCTGCCACGGCCTTTCGGGGCAGGTGATGCTGTGGGGTGGCATTGATTCTTCATTTTTAAGCCTGAAAGGGGACATTTGCACGTATGGTGGAGGGAGGGACCTCTCTCTCCAGGTCCTCTTGACCCCAACCTCAGCTCTGCTTTCTTTGTTAAGGACTTTTAATGGGTTTCCAGCTGCAAAAATGCAGCTCGGGAAGCTATTTGAGGAGCGTAGATGTGGCTATAAAAGCCACGAAAAGGCCACCAAAATGGTCACAAAATGGGCCACAAAAAATGGACCGCAAAAGACCACAGGAAGGGCCACCAGAAGGGTCGTGAAAGGGCACAAAAATGGGCCCAAAAAGGGGCACAAAAGGACCACAGAGAGCCTCCAAAGGGACCACGAGGGCCACCAAAGTGGCCACCAAATGAACACAAAAGGCCACAGAAAGGGCCACCAGAAGGGTCACGAAAGGGCACAAAAAGGGGCACAAAAGGGCTACAAAGAGCCTCGAAAAGGCACAGAAGGACCAGGAGGGCCACCAAAATGGGCCACAGAAGGGTCACAGAGAGCCCAAAAATGGCCACCAAAGTGCTACAGAGGCCCAATAAAGGGCCAGAAAAGGGCCACAGACATCCAAAAAGGCCACAGAGGGCCCACAAATGGCCATGAAGGGCCAAAAAGGGCCACAAAAAGGCTGCAGAGGCCCAATAAAGGGCCACAAAGTGCCCCACGAATGGCCACCAAAGGCCTCAAAATGGCCTCCAAAGGGCCACAAAGAGTCATAAAATAGCCACAAAAGCCACAAAATGGCCCCCAAAGGCACACTTATGGGCCACAAGGGGTCTCAAAATGGCCACCAGAGGGCCACAGAGGCCCCAAAATGGCCACAGAGGACCCAGAATGGCCAACAAAGACCCAATAGAGGGCCACAAAGGCCCCAAAAATGGCCTCCAAAGGCACATTGGAGGGCCACAAAGGGTCACAAAAGGGCCACAAAAGCCCCAAAATGGCCACCAAAGGGTCACAAAGGTCCGAAAATGGCCACAAAGGACCAAAAATAGTCCCTGAAGGGTCACTGAGGGTCACAAAATGGCCCCCAAAGGCCCCAAAAGTGGCCAACGAAGACCCAATAATGGGCCACAAAGGGTCACAAAATGGCCCCCAAAGGCACAACAGAGGGCCACAAAAGCCCCAAAATGGCCACCAAAGGGTCATGAAGGTCCGAAAATGGCCACAAGGGCTCCAAAATGGCCCCTGAAGGGTCACTGAGGGTCACCAAATGGCCCCCAAAGGCCCCAAAAATGGCCAACGAAGACCCAGTAAAAGGCCACAAAGGGTCACAAAATGGCTGCCCAAGACCCCAGAATGGCCACAAAGGGTCAC